TAAGGATATCACATTGAAGTGGACTGAGCTGCATGACTTCCAGGTCTGCAAAGTGATTGTCTGACAGCATTATCCTCTCCTTGATTTGTATTTTTCTACTCTCCAAAGTTCTGATGATTGACTTCTCTTCTGATGCTCCTCTCTAGAAAGATGACATTACTCAAATGACTGCTAAGGAATCGGTGTTAGCTTAAGTAATAAACTGTGTATGGTGCGATTCTGCAAAGGTTGCAGATGAATGAAGAAATTTGTTACACATCAATGTGAACTTCCTGTCCTTAAGGGATACTACCTATGTGGTAACCAAGTAGTCATTCCTAATTCAGACTGAACACAAATTCTCAGTGTTCTTCACACAGGATGTCCAGAAATTATTTACATGAAAGGACTTGCCAGAAGTTCTGTTTGCTCGCCAAAGACATGCAGACATGGAACAAACAGTAAAGAGATGTGAAACCATGCCAAGCCTCAGGCCATGCACTAGCTAAGGCTCCAGACCATCCATGGGAAGTGACCAGGACACCATGGTTTCATCTCCATATAGATTTTGCTGACCCTTTCCAAAGCCAGATATTCTTTATTGTCATTAATTCTCTCAATATGGCTGGAAGTTGTTTCAGTTGCATCAGTGACTTCATGCACTGTAATCCAAGTTTTATGGTATCATTTCACAACCTATGGTCTTCCAGATAGTATTGTGTCCAACAATGTTATTTAATTCACTTCTGAAGAATTTAAGAAGTTTATGGGGGAATATCTTATCCATCACATCATATCTGCACCATTCCACCCATCCTTAAAAGGCCAAACCAAGGGGATGGTCCAAACAATTAAAGATGCATTGAAGTGAATCATAGATGGTGATTGAAACCAAAAATTAGCTAATTTCTTACTATAGCAGCATATAACTCCAGACAGTGCTACAGGCTGCAGCCCTTCAAAACTACTCATGAACTGCCAGCTGAAAACTTGTTTCTTTTGGGTCCTCCCAGATACAGTAGCCAAATACCAGATGAGGCAGTTCTCCAAGAAATAGGATGTTTCACCTGTAATAAATAACCTTTGAACCAGGTGAGCCTATGTACAGCCAAACCTATGTGACTGGGCTGTAGCGGGTGCCTGCATCTGTCCTTGGAGCTATGAGACCAGTATCATATAAAGCCCAGACTTCAGGTAGACAGACATTTTTCAAGCATATTGACCAGATGTGGGGTTGAGTCTCAGACAATGTGACCTCTGCAACACCAGAATATACTACACTTCTAGTGGAACCAGTTCTGAGAAGTCCATCATCTGCTGTTCAAGACCCATGGAATCATGGAAAGATAGACTTGGAAGGGACATCAGGAGTTCATTTAGCCCAATCCCCTGCTCAAAGCAAGACCATCCTCAACCCTGTCATCCCAGCCAAATCTTTGCTTATTCAGGTCTTAAAACATTTCTAAGGATGGAGATTCCACATGCTCTCTGAGTAGCCTGTTCCAGTGCTTTACTACCCTCCTCAGCAGAAAGTTTTTCTAATATCTAACCTAACCTTCCCTTGCTGCAGACTACTCTAAAAAAGTCAGAGGAGGCTACTACAGTGAAAAGTCTATTACCCCTGGAGTTCACCACAAGAGATAGATTTCTGCCTGGCTCAAATAATTACAGGACTACATTTTCTAGAGTGGAGGGATGTTACGTATTAAGTGTCTGTATATATTTTCTGCATTCTGTCAGCAGAGTGTGCTGCCTGAACTGCATTGCTCCTGTGTTGCTGTTTGTTGTTCTGATTTACCTATATACCATATTTACTTGAATATAATGAGCCCCCCCCCCCCCCCCCATTGGCATGGGGGGAAGCCCCCCCCAATTGGCATGGGGGGAAGCCCCTCATCTTATAATTGCATATAAGGAAGTATCACTAACTACATTGTCTATCATAAACTTCTGCCAAAACAGCATGTGCTCAGTAATTAAAACCAACTATGAAGTTGATTAAATGTCACCAACACTGAATATGACTGTAAGACAAATAGGGAAAACATGCTGATAGAAACCTACTAGAAGAATAGGTTAGTGCAGCCTATCTAAACAAGACATATGGAAATGTCCATTAAGCACAGTTCTCCTCACTGACAACTCTTTTCAAGTCATGGTAAGTCTTATATTGTATACAGTTCACCCAGTAACCCTCTGTCACCCCTGTCTCTCATCCTGATTTGTGTGGCCTCATTCTCTATTGGGAGCGGGGGTGGAGTTGGACAAGGTTGTTCTGGACCTCATCTACATATACATTTTTGGAGGAGTCCAGAATTGGTGATAAGAACATCCAAGTTCCAGTCATGAGTAGGAGGCTAATTAGCACATGGGGGGTGTTGGTGGGTGTGTGGGGGGGGGGGGCATTGTGTCTGGAGTACATGAGAGAAGAACTAAGGTTTAACACATTAAATGGTAGATATCTACCAACTTATTATTTGCTCATAATTTTGGGCAAATAGTAATTCACAGAACTGTGTTTCCTAAAGTACATAGATTTGTCAAGTACCTGCATTAGGAGACTTGAGGCTTTATTAGATTCAAGTTCAGATTTATGTAAGAGTAATTGGTTTTAGATGAGAAGGTCAGGAGTAAATCTTATCAAACATTAGTGTTGCTCCATGGAAGTGTGCTTTTTATACAGCATCTTAATTCTGTGTAGCAACTTGCTAAAGATTAGAAGATTAGTAATGCTTTATTATGTAATGTGAAAATGTGAAATGATGAACAATGGATTAGAACAATGGTGCTAATGATAATAGTATTCTAGTAGAACCATTAATATGATGTTCTCAAATTACTTTATTAATATTTTTTTTTTCAGCATCAAAATACCATCATGAAATAGGGAGCTATTATCATCTTTGTGCTACTATTTGTCCATTTTGGAGATGCATAAATTGTGGCACAGAAAACATAAGTGGCTTACCCAGGGTCACAGATAATTAATGGGAGACCCAGAAATAGCCCATGAGAATGCTGATTTCTGGTTCCCTGCTTTGAGCACTGGTAAATGCTCTGCATAATTTTAGGATAACTTTGAATGGGATGACTATGTGGCATATGATATTCAGTCTGCATTGTTCAATATTCTCTTTTAACACCATTAGAAACCTGAGAGGAATGTGTATAGCAAGATATAACACTACTCCAAGATTAAATGTATAATATATTTTCATATCTATTATACTAAATTTCATTAACATACTTCCTTTTTAAGTTATCTGGCCCTTTTATCCTTTAGTCATGGCCAAAATGAAAAAAAAAGAAAAAGCTGAGTATAAAATCTAGGTGGACATTATCAGTATGTGCTAAGCACATGCCCCGGACAATGTAGCTCCTTCCATCTTCAAAGCTAATTTTCAAATGATTCAGAGTTAACCATGTGGCACATTTACCATGTGGCAGAAAATCAAAAATAAAAGTATGTCACAGTTTCACAAAAAAATGTCCTATCTTTGTGAAAATCAAGTTCCATAAAGAAAATCTTAGGCAGGTAGAAATGTGAGAGGTGCTATACATTTTAACGATTAGGCAATAAACCTAGAAAAGGATAAATGCTTGAACCAAAGAACTAATGTTTTAGGGAAGAGAATTTGGATTTGTACAAGTTGCCTCTTTGGATGGCTGCCATCTTGATTTTCTAATTTAACTAGTTTTGTTTTTGCTTTTGGGGTGCAATCCTGTTGTACTGACAACAGTGGGAGCAGAATCAGACCCCAAAATGAGAAACAACGTATCTAATCAGTGCGCATGATAGATTCAAGAGAGCTTTGAAAACAACACTTGTGACTTTATATATTTACCTTTCCAAACTCTTCAAACTTCTTAGTCCATAGAGGATTAAATTGATACTTTACTCCTGACATTCACTGTATATAAACAGATGTTTCTGAGTAATGTCTAAGAGTACCCTTTTCTTTTCTCTTCACAGTAAATCTAATTTTGCAAAGCATTTAAGCATGATCATAAATATCAGTCATCTCAACTGATATAAATCACAGTATTTAAAATCACATGCAAAAGTGAACTCAATTTAATGTCTCCCCTTGCTTATTTTTTTATTTCTTCCATACAAAGTATCATAAAAATATACTCAGATTTTTTGTTCTTTTTTTGGGACACATTCATTTTTAGTTTGTGGTGATCTGGGAAAACCTTGTCCATTTCAGGTGTGGTAACCCTTTCCTATGGATTTCATAAGTCCAGAGAAGAAAGTAGACATAGGGAATAAAGGGAATAGCTGTAACATTCTGTGAATATTTTCTCTTGCATCACTTGCTTTGTGGAAAGACAGTAGGAATAGTGGGAAGAATAGTGCGATAAATCACAGAAACAGTTCTACTCTAGAAACCTACTTGCCACTGGGAAAGAGAGTGCTCTGGGAAACATCATCACCATATTTTTGAGGCTTCACCCTTCTCTGAACTTTTAAAATATGAATAATCAGGAAAATAATAACTATTTTAAAATCAATCTGGAAGTGGCTGCCATGAACTTTCCATCATTTTTCAGGTTTTCAGTAGGTCTTTTTTCTTTTGTTTTTACAAATGGGAGATAGATCATCCATAGCCCTCTGTGCCCACACAAAGGAAATAAGAGGGTATGGATTGGACTTTTGCCATCTTCTGCAGGCTACCTAAACCAGAGATACAGCATGGAAGTAGAGGCAGGCTTCACAAAACCATTACTTTTCCCACCCGTGTAGGTGGAGGATAAGAGGAAAGACTAAATGGAGTCTTGACTCTGCCCACACAGCATGCCGGCTTAATGACATATGTTGCACCCTGCTGAAATCTGGCACAGTTTACTTTCTCCCAGGGCAGTGGGAAGATATGGACACAAATTGTGATTCTCACAGTTACAATCTGCTTCCCAAGCTGTTCTTGTGGCAGAGTAGCTTGATCGGGGCACATGGGACGAAGTAAAGAAAGTATATTTATAGAGCACTGATTTTTTTTCTGATGTTATCTTTTATACAGATCATGTTGTATGTGAAGAGGAGTTCAAATATGCTATGTTAGCTTTAAATTGCATATGCCCAGCTACTTCCACACTGATCACTCTGCTTGTTCATACTTCTAGAGGACAGTAAGTATAACTTCTTTAGAATACGACCAAGGTTCTTTGAAATACAATGGAACAATCTACCCAAAAGATACATAACTCCTCAGCCCCAATACATTCAATGTTCCCTATCTTTATTGTGTTACGGCTGTGAGGAAATATCAAGATGTTTTCCACAATATTCCATTTAACCTACCATTTTCCTATTTTTATTATTTTGTGCAAAAGGAAATCATCAAGGAATTTGCTCAAAATGCATTATATTTTCAAGGGGGGAAACATTAGCAATTTAAAAATAAAAATATGCGTGTCACAAAATTAACAGGAAATGTGAAAAAGATTTATTTTCATCTTAGTAAATGTCATCATATCCATACAGCCCTACTTAAAAATACAAAGATCTGTAAGCAATTACACTTTTGTAAAATCAGCACTTCTTGTACACCTGTTCACTGTGTTTAATGGCACTTTTCATGAGGCAGGCTGGGAAGTTTCTAATTCTAATACTTACATGTTCAGAAAGGAAGCGGAGAAATATATGGTGGATAACAGTGGATGTGTTGAACATAACTACAATGCCCGGTGGGAGGCAATGCAGAAATGCCCTCCCTCAGTGAATGATAAAATGCCAGTGAGAACTCTTGGAGTCAGCCAGCTCAACCTATACTTTTCTAAAGAGATCTCGATTTTCTGCGTCCAGGGTAGTCATCAAGTCATGTTGCAAAGGTACTAATCACCTGCAACTCCTACTGCAGGCAATGTAAGCTTGAGGGTTTAATCTCTTCTGAAAATCAGGCCCTATCCCAAAATAAGTAACTGCTTTCTAAAACTGAGCCCACTGACACTAGCCAGCAAATTGATTCTCAAGTTCAGGAAATGAAGGAAATTGCTGTCATGCTGGGAAACCTATAGCATCTGTTATCTACTGAACAACTCCTGGCTAATGCAAGAGGCAGGGATGTAGTTCCATCAATACCACAGTGCAAAGGTAATGGTGCCTCTGTGAAGGTTTTGCACTCTGTGTACAAGTATGCCCACTATTTTAAGTCCTTACATGAGAACCAAGTAGATGTTATCCATTAAGTTCCTACCCTTCCTGTGTGGCTCTGAGAGACAGATCACCAGCTACTGTAAATGTTTAACTCCAATGATTTCAGCAGAGAAATAATTACTTAAATCAGCAAGATTTAGTCCTAGCTGTCTAAATGAAAGTAACTTTCACTTATAATACATGGACTAGGGTTTTCAAAATATTTAAGAAAAGGCATGGGCTTCCACTGCCACTGAATGCCAATGAGAGCTGGTTATCTACCCATATTATGCTCCTTTGAAAATATCACTCCAGGTGCATAAGCCTCCAGCAAATGAAGGTGTATAAAAAATCCAGTGTAAATTATTTTAATAGTTAATTTTTAATATTAAGAAGTCCTGAAAAATGGTGCTACAAGGAAGAAATGTTAGAAAGTAAATATCAAAACATAGGAAGTTGAAAGTATTACTATATATTTA